GGAAGCTGAAAAGTCCTTGACCAGTGTAAGCACCGCTCAGCATCAACTAAAACATCAGCCTGTTATCAACGTTATTCTCATCCTAAATCCAAAGCACAGCACTATACCAGCTACTGGGAAGAAAAATCAACTCTATCCCAGCTGAAACCAGGACACACTCCTCAGAAGTTGTTTCAGGTGCCCATGGCAAGCTTTGAGTGAGAAGGACAGCAGCTGTGTAGGTCCAGGGCCAACACACGAGTCAGAGCCATTTCTAATGCTGCTGCTTTGTGTGGCTGGGGTGCTGCAGAGGCAAACCAAAATGTGGATGATGGTAAGAGATAATGAAGCTTTTGCAGTGGAAGTTTAATTCCAAACAGGAAGGGATGCTGACCCCGTGCAAGGTTTGACAGGAAGGCACAGAGAAGTTCAAACCAGAATTCTGGTTTGATGGTGATGTGAGGTGATCAGTGGTTACTAGCCCTCGTCACCTGCCGGGTGCTGAATGTTGAATGACAGACTTCTCTACACAGAGAAATGGTTCGTTTAGCAACGTTCATCTTCAATGTGCTATATATAGCTGCCTTTTACAGGTGTTCTTAAATAATGGCAGTTAACAGGCAGTTAAGTTGTGCCAGAGCTCAAATGTGTTTAGTCAGATTGTTACAGTCCACTTCAAACTGAAATTGAAGGTAATGGGAAAGGGACTGGTACCAAAACAATTAGATCTGTTCCAAAACCAGCCTAAGGTAGTGTGTATGCAGGGCCTCAGCTTTCTTACTGTGCAGGATGTCCTCTGCAGGCTGGAGGTGACAGACACTGGTGGGATATCATCATCTCGGGACGGCATGGAGAGTGTTGGCCCTGTGTGGCATCATCTGCTCTGAACACCCTGGCCTTCTTGCACAAGCACCAAGAACTTGTAAAAATAAAGCTTAACTTATTGCAGCAGCATATAGCACCAAACACCCAAAGGGAACTGAACGCTGAGCATCCAGGGGAGGTTGGTCCAGGCCCTCAGCCAGGGAGGGTAATAACACGGCGTTATGCAAGGAGGAGATGAGACTCTCCTTGGGCTGCAGTGTCCCCCGCTTCTTTTCTTACTGCTTCTGTAGACTTTTCGTAGCTCCATGTCCCATGTGCACAGGGATCAAGCTAATAGATCCAGCAAAACTGCTTCGGTGTGCTGTGCTCCTTCGTTCTTCTTTGATGGCAGGGGCATGCTGAGAGTTGATGACGTGGGGCAGAGCCAGGCAAGCCGATTTCAAGCGTAGTTTCACCGCCAGTCCCCCTTCTCAGACATACTTCTGCTGGCTAAAATGTAGCAGAAGTGGCTCGTCCTTAGTTTTCCAATATAGTTATTTTCATTAGGGAACCTGCAGTGCCAGACTTTGTGTGAGAACTGAGCCATACCTTTTCAACTGCAGTCCAGTCTTAAGTCGTCTTTGCATTTCCTTGCGTGCAGTATTTGCACCGTGACACTACTAGCCACAGCCTGCACACAAGTCATTTTCATGCTGTCTGAACTGACGAGAGTTGGCTTTAGGACAGTACTTATGAGAGATCTTAAAATACATTGCATGTACCAGTGACTCATGTTTTTCCTCAGCCTTTTATACGATGCAGTCTGCAGTGCAGAGACCTTGTAGATGAAGCTAAGAAATTTCATCTTCGGCCCGAGCTCCGGAGTCAGATGCAAGGACCCAGGACAAGAGCACGTCTAGGTGAGCAGCGAAGGGAAGGACCCTGAGAAGGTCTGGGGCATCGGCAGGAATTGTATTATACACCATGTCTGGTGCCTCGTAATTGCACTGAAGTGCTTCACAGCAGTGACTTGTGGATCCACAGTCCCCAGTGGTACAGAAAGGGGACCAGAGCAAAGGACAGAGGTGCGTTTTTTTCAGAGCACCGTTGCTTAGTGGCAGTGCGGGGACTAGGTGGTTGCCTTTAATCCCAGGCCTCTGCTGTAACCCATAAAACCAGTTTCCTGAGTTGTTGGTGCCTCCAGATACGTTCGTCTCAGCATGCAGCTGTCCGAGAAGTGTGGGAAGAGTTCCCTCCTGTCTAAAAAGGCAGGTATCAGTGTCAGAAACAAAAAGAGCCATGAGGTGAGAGACAGCTGTGTCACATTTCATTAATTTTTCAGGCTTCAGTCAGCTTGACTTGTTTCTCGGTGAAATGGTGAAGGAAGGTGCCATCTGGTCTGGGTGTCATTTGCGAAGGAGGGGAGAAGGCCCTGCTTTGTGAGGAGGCTGCAGGGAAGCAGCCCTCCTCCTTCAGCTCTCGTGGGGTGGTAAGAGGTTTGAAAAAATAATCGTGGAAAGAATAGAAAAGAAGATATTATCGAGCCAACTTCAGGACCTAACGTAGCCAGGTTGTCTTCTCAGAGTCCCTCTAACATGAGGAGGAACAGCCCTCCAGCAGACAGCTCCTAACACCCGAGCCAGTCTTACTGCCACGCACCCTGGAAGGGTTTCTCTCTCTTCCTCCCCGCTGAGGATCGAGGGGGTCCGGGTGACTGTATCCACGTTAGGTGCCAGCTTCAGAGTGGTGATGAAAACAGGGATTTAGAGGTGACGTGTTGCACCAAGGAAGGCTCAGAGATTCTTCAGGTGATTCCCTTGAGGTGACCCTTTGGTTGTGAAGGGATTGACTTGACTTTGCTCTCCCTCTTTGCTCTAGGAGCTAATGAAGTCCTGCTTGTGATCGGCGGCTTTGGCAGCCAGCAGTCACCTATTGATGTTGTGGAGAAATACGACCCAAAGACTCAGGAGTGGAGTTTCTTGCCAGTAAGGGACCATTTTTGACCACCACTGGGTTGAACAGGCTGTGAGCAAACACTGGTCCTGTAGCATCAGCTGTATAACATTCCGCTTTGGGCTATCCTTTGCGTTCTGCGTAGAATTTCTGCCTGCCATAAATTCTTTGGAGTTGCTGAGGTTTACATAGCAAATGCTGAAACCGCTTCACGTTTGCAGATTTGCTAAGTAAGCTTTGTATAAGAGGTGGTTGTCATATTTCTAATCAGATGAGCCTACAGAGACCCACATCTTTGTTGTGGGAGTGAGAGCTCTCATGTTTCTTATTGAAGGGTGGTTAAGCTTTAAGTTAGTGATGATAATTGAAATGTCAATAGGAATAGTGTAATCAGGCCTGCTTTCAGGCAGGCTGCGTGATCTCTCTGGTTTCATTGTTTCTGAGCATATGGGAGATAGTAAGGAAGAGAGAATTTCTGCACTGAGGACCCTTTCTACCCAAATTTAAAATCACCTTTATCTGTGTGAAATGGTGGAGAACTGCCTCTTCTTTAATATCGCTAATCACAGAAGACTCTGTATCACCTGGTCTCCCAAAATTCTGTTCTTTTTTGGAAGCTAAAAGCTTGAGGTATTTTCAGCAAATATTCCAAGTCTCTGCATTTTCCCGTTAACAGTCTCTGCAGGGAGCCAGTGGGAGGCACACAAACCTCCGAGATGCATCAAAGATTCAGTAGCAGCATAAGATAAATGACATTTAATGCAAAATATTTTAGTGCAGAGAGGCCTGGCCATGAGAAGAGGGCATGGCAGAGACAGAGTACAGGCAGAGGAAGGCAGACGCAGTTGTTAAGCATTTTAGCCAGGGCTGTATCCTTTAAATCCATAGTGCTGTTTGCCTCAGCGGTAGTGGGCCGTTTTCCAAAAGAGCAGGAAAAGAGAATGGAAGAACAGTGGTTGGTCTCCGTGCATCAGTGTTTTTTCGTCTCCCTGACCTTTTTATGCTTTCTACTGTTTTAGAGCATCACCCGTAAGAGGCGCTACGTTGCTACAGTGTCCCTGCATGATCGGATCTATGTGATTGGGGGGTATGATGGTCGCTCTCGTCTCAGCTCGGTGGAGTGCTTGGATTATACATCAGATGAGGATGGGATCTGGTACTCCGTGGCTCCGATGAATGTACGGCGAGGCCTGGCGGGAGCCACGACCCTCGGAGGTATGTCCTGGTCCCCGTACTGACGGGGCAGTACAGCCTGTTTCAGTTCTCGTCCTGAAATGCCCTGAGCTGGTATGTGCAGAGTGGGATGGCTCCGAGGGAGGAGGTGAGACTGAAATTGTGGCTTCTCATCATTTGGATGTAGAAATGGAAAACTTGCCCACATATCCTGAGAGGAGCTCTGCCTCCGCTTGATTCTTACGGCATGTGGCTGTGCATCCAGGGAAAGGAGCTCTGTGAGGGATTATGGAGTGGGAAGCTCTCGGGGTGGTGACAGTGTCGCATATTACTGAGCACGGGACACCAAGTACGGCAGTAACCATCCAGCGCTGCGGAGAGGCTGAAACTGGAGCATGTGCAGAGGAGGATTCTTAGGGCAGACCTGGAAGAAGAAAACTACTTTACTGAGCAAACCAGAATGCTTGAGCTCGCTTACGCTGGCAAAGCAAAGGCCAAGAGGGGATATGAGTGTGCTCTGAGTGTAATTTGGCATGAGAAGGAAATGGGCAATGTAAGAATTGAATAAGAACAAATGGTTATAAACAGGCCAGGGAAACGTTGGTGTGGAAATGAGAGAACGTTTTCTAGCCATTAAAATAGCAGTTACTCTAGTGAATATTCTGTGCTTTAATGCTTATATTAGACTATCTTCTTAATAATAAATATTGGTTAAATATTATTGATTTAGATTGTTAATAATCTATTCTAATGAAAATTCTCTTAAAAATGCAGCTGCTTTGAAGAAGACAGATTTGTGAAAGCGTTGCATGAATTAGGTTATCCAGTGTGAGGAACTGATCTTGACGATCCAGATGTCTTTTGGATCTTCTGTCCTTTTGCTACCTGTGTGTTTACCACCTGTAAGCATTTGCTCTGGGGAGGTGCTGACAGGATGCTAGTGACAGGCAGGGTTTGGGCACGGCAGCGTTTCAGTAGGTTCTGCAGCGTGGAAAAGGTAACTGGGGGGTGCGTGTTCTCTTTCACCCATCAGCAG